GGAGCTTGCAGTGAGCCGATCGCGCCACTGCACTCCAGCCTGGGCGACAGAGCGAGACTCCGTCTCAAAAAAAAAAAAAAAAAAAAAGACTGTCATTTCATATAAGTGCAGGTGAACATTCTCGGGGAAGAAAGGGGCTTATCCATGTGTTTGGCTTCTAAGATTTGAGAAGGGGACCATGGAACCAGAGGGCCTGAATATCCCATGAAAAGGCAACTCTCCCACCATCTGACTCAAAGTCTTCCCAAGGATACTCCACAGCTACTATGACCAAGCTTAATGCCAACCTCATCTTCTCTAAACCAGTCATCACTGACCACGATTACCATGTGTACAGACTCTTGTTGTAGAAGAAAAGCCCTCATGGAAAGAAAGGCATAAAACCAGTTGAGTCGAAGCTTTCATATTTCTTCAGTTCATCTTTCTATTTCCTATTTTTCATCCTCAAGAATGATACCATTTAGTTGGCATCTTAAAAATTACAGGTGTGGTTGACTGAAGCAGTTCACATCTATAATCCTGGCATTTTGACAGGCCAAGGTGGGAGGATGACTTGAGCCCAGGAGTTTGAGACCAGCCTAGGCCGCATGGTGAAACCCTTTCTCTACAAAAAATTTAAAATTTAGCCAGGTGTGGTGGTATACCTCTGCAGTTCCAGCTACTCAGGAGGCTGATGTGGGAGGATTGCTTGAGCCCAGGAGTTAGAGACTACCCTGGCTCAACCTTTTTTTCTGAGATGGAGTCTCACTCTGTTGCCCAGGCTGGAGTACAGTGGTGTGATCTCGGCTCACTGCAACCTCTGCTTCCCGGGTTCAAGCAATTCTCCTGTTTCAGCCTCCCAAGTAGCTGGGACTACAGGTGTACACCACCATGCCCGGCTAATTTTTGTATTTTTAGTAGAGACAGGGTTTCACCATATTAGTCAGGTTGCTCTCTAACTCCTAACCTCAGGTGATCCACCTGCCTCGGCCTCCCAAAGTGTTGCGATTACAGGCGTGAGCCACCGCACCCGGCCCCGCTCAACCCTTTTTAAGCCTGGGAAAAAGTTCTTCCAAGAGTTGTAAATGCCGGGTGAATAGGCTCTAATGCAACCTTAATTTTTCTCACCAGAATGGATATGATTCCTTTATGTCTCTCTTCTACCAAATCACAGATGATCTTGTTGTTGAAATATTTAATTGGCTCCCACTAAAATGACAAAGAGAAATTAATTCTTCAAGAAATATTTAGATGAACGTAAAAGTTGGTTTTAAATTGGTTTTCTAAGACATCTTTTTTCAAAATCTAGTTTTTATATTCAACCTTAAACAAATTATATTTTCTGAATATCAAAATAATTTCTCAGGAAATAAGCAGAGAAGGGCTAAAAATTAATCCTCAGTACTAATTAGGAAAATCTCCAATGAAATAATATTTCAATTAAATGTCTTCAGTGGTTGGGCACAGTGGCTCACACCTGTAATCCCAGTACTTTGGGAGGTCGAGGCAGGAAGATCACTTGAGTCCAGGAGTTCGAGACCAGCCTGGGCAACATAGAGAGACCCTGTCTCTACAAAAAATAAAATAATTAGCCAGGCACGGTGGCATGTGCCTGTGGTCCCAGCTACTTAGAAGGCTGAGGCAGGAGGATCACTTGAGCCCAGGAGGTGGAGGTTGCAACAAGCCATGATTGTGCCACTGTACTCCAGCCTGGGTGACAGAGTAAGACCTTGTCTTAAAAATAATAATAATAATAATTTTAAAAATCTTTAGCTAGATTAAGAAATCAGATGAGGAGAAAACATCAAAATGTTTACCTCTATGCCTTCCATTTCATATTCTGCCTGTTCTGCTTTTAGAGTCCTCTCAATTAACAGTTGCTGGAGTTTCTCATTGCAGTAATTTATACAGAACTGTTCAAAACTAAAGATACAAAAGATTTAAATAACTAAAGTTACATGAAGAGAACAATTTTTTAAAAATTATATTCTTTTTAGGGATGCTTTTTAATAAAGAAAAAACAAAGTCCTTATTAATAAAATATTTTACTAAATAAATCAGAAGAGTCAAGTGAGAATATATTTGCATTTTTATGGTTAGTTGACATCTAGGATGGTCTGTAAATTAGAAACTATGTAAATCTAGAGATTTTCTGGGGACAGGAAAATCAATCTAGTAACATTAGCGAATGATTTAAATCTCGACTGAAACCTTAAAAAAGGGCAAAAGACAGGTAGGGAGGTAATGACAAAACGTACCCATTCTTGTCAAAGACTTCAAACCCGTAGATGTCCAGTAATCCAATTACAGTTTTCCTGGTGAAATCCTGGTCAAAATAATACACTCCATTCATACTTAGGTCTTTTCCTTTGTGCTACTCAAAACTCTGTTGCTGCTCCCCCAAACTGGGACTTGGCGCTAAAGCTCACGTCTCCTCTTTCTCCAACAATACAGAACCTTTGGGTGGAAGTAATTTCCCCAGCCTGCTGCTCCTGCCTGCTCAGATCCCACTGCAGCTTCCATAGCCATCACCTGTGGAGTGAGACCTTCCCCTTCTGATTCACTTCTTTGCTTCAGCTCTCCTCAGCCTCCCAAGCCCATGTACAATCCAAAAAAAGAAAAAAAAAAAAAGAAGAAGACAACGACGACGACAACGATGAAGAAAAATAAGAAGGAGAAAAGGACCTAGATAGATAAGAAGATGCCTATCAAGTAAGAGGACTAAGTACCCTCAGGCCACGGTGAGTATTCAAAGATAATGTATTTATTTCAGGCTGGGTGTGGTGGCTCACGCCTGCAATCCCAGCACTTTGGGAGGCTGAGGCAGGCGGATCACTTGTGGCCAGGAGTTTGAGACCAGTCTGGCCAACATGGTGAAATTCCATCTCTACTAAAAAATTACAAAAATTAGCCGGGCATGGTGGTGTGCACCTGTAATCCCAGCTACTCAGGAGGTTGAGGCACAAGAATCACTTGCACCCCAGATGTGGAGGTTGCAGTGAGCCAAGACTGTGCCACTGCACTCCAGCCTGGATGACGAAGTGGGACTCTGTCTCAAAAAAAAAAAAAAAAAAAAAAAAAAAAA